AGTTCAAAATTGAATCGATATTTTACTTTCAAGATAAATGTTATGCGCTTGGCTCCTAGAGCTAGGCTAGGTGATCCCACACTACAGCTTTACATTAGGCTTATTATACTAACACTCACTACGCTTATAAGATTTCACGCCACCCACCCCTTCACGGCTCCCTTGCACCCCGTCACTAAAATCGTAATGAGCAGACAGTAATTGAACTATTCTATCTGGATAAATGCATTTTGGCTTTTATGACTCCCCCTACTTTCTAGAAATCAAGCATGACGTGACACACACACACACACAGGCTTTTATATAAGTTAAATAATTTACATTTGTAACTGAATTTTCTATAATAAATTAAAATCAGCTCTGTAATAAATACAAATGTGCTCTTGCTGTGCTACTTAATGCTGTTAACTCTGTTTTTAATTTATAATTTCGTTTATACATTGTTTTATTATATTGATACCTATGTTATCTTGAAAATAAATACTCTTGTTTATTTACATAATAAATGTATTTGTAAGTATGCTGAAATAACGTTATGTATTTTTTTCAGGTTTTCTGGAAAACCATCAGCGACAAAAGACAATGCAAATTACTATTTTAACCCTTGCTACAATTTTTCATACAATGTAGCTAACAAATGTTTACCCTGTACAGATGTAGCTGTAAGTATAATTATTGGTGAACTTTTGTCTATCTCTAACGGTGTGATTTTTCTAAATGCGTCGTAATATTTATTCAATCACATTCACGTTAACATTATGTTCCCCCGTTGTTGTATATATTTTTCTGTCATTATACGCTGTCTAGTATTTAGGGCATTTTCTTGCCATGTTTTCTGATAGCCATTCCACCAATCTTAACATAGTAAAATTATCCATAAGCTTATGTGTCTTTAATATTATATTACATTTTTTTCTCTTTATATTTTATTGAGTATTGCTTCACTATGATATTTCTAGCGGAATATTCTAGAGATCAAGGAAGAACTGTTACACCTAAATATAAACAGCATCTCGCTGATGATACATCTGATAAATTTACCCTATAAGCCTGAGCATCATTTACTGTGCATGTCACGAGGCTTTAGTGACTTTCATTCAAAGTTTTATTAAACTACATTTAATTTATGTTATACCAATTAGTATAGCAGAAATTCTTAGCTAATAATCCGTATTTTAATAGTATATAGTTTTAAGTTCTTAATTTTATAAGGCAACATTAAAAAAAAATCCTGAATTTCCCCTAGTTTGACACATGTGACACATTTTCTCTAGGCATCTCCTCTTCTCTATTTTATTCACCACCCCTCCAATAAGTACGAAGTTCAACCTAAGTTACTGCACAGGCAAGTCATGATGTTTATAGCCTTCAATTTTGTTTGGTTACAAAGCCACCAAATATAAAATCACACCTTTTTGCCACACCCACTTGTCACATCCTCTTTTTTCAGAATTTGTTAATAGCTTTCTCTTACGTTTAATTCTATATTATCTATAACCAATAGAAATCCAAGGTTTGTAATCTATCAAATGGCGTATTGTATTACGTTGTTTTTTGAAAGAAGAATTATAAATTTCTCTGTTAGTACATGCTTTTCTAACGGAAAAAATAATGACTAGTTTGGATGAATTTGTAACAGCTCTTGTCGCATAATTAGAAAGCCAGAACAATTGTGAGAGTTGAGGGAAATTGTCTACTTTTTGCATATCATTATTCTATATTTTTGGTGCATTATTTAATTAAATAAAAATTATTAAGTGCTTTACTACCATTAGTATAAAAGTAGGGTTAATTTTCATCGACAATCGACAGTAAATGGAAATACTCAGATAAGTACTTTATTTCTTGTTCTTAATGTTTATTCTATATTTATTATTAGAAAAGTAACTAAAATGTAAAAATAGGGATCTTTTAGGTTATTTAAGGTTAGATTAGGTAAAATATATAATAATAATAATATAATAAAAATGTTTCACGAGGTACGCACGCGAGCAGCTCGTGGGTAACGTAATTCGACAATGTAACATGAGCTGCACCTTCCCCAAATGATTTACAACTTATAATTGCGTGAATGGTAGTTAGATACAGTTCAAAGGGCAATAAAACAATAAAATTTAGTTATAAATATATGCATACTGTTACGAGTGTAAAGTTACTTAGGATAAACGAATGTAGTTTCATGTTACAACTTGAAGTTTTTTTTATGGTTACGATGTTGATCAAATTGACCCATCTTGTATAGAATAAGGGTAGAAAAAATAACAGATAAAATATAAAGTTTTACTGAAAACATACATTTGAAGTGTATTTAGGAGGTTTTAGAGATTACACAAATGAAATTTGAGATTTTTGAGATGAAGAAACGTATTTTTAATCTTAACATGTAAATCATTTTGCACACGGACTGTTCAAA